CCATGACTGTTTGAAGCAACATTCTTTGTGTACCTCCATTTGCATATCATCTTTATTAAATGTATGTGTATGTGCCTTAGATCTCCCCTTTACTCCTCCTGTTCTACCTGTTTCTCAAATATCAATACTTTGTTTTGTTTTTATCCACTTTAAATGTATTTTTAAAATTCTTTTTGACACTTTGTTTTCTGTTCTGGGTTTTATTCCAGACCCTTGGGCTTTGTTGTGTGTTTTTGTTTTCTGCATTCTTATGTATTTTTTCCATGACTTTTTCCTAGAGTATTTTGAGTTTATTGTCTTTGCATAGCTTTTTCCAAGTATGTCTTTCATTATACAAACATCATGTTTCCCTTTACTGATACAATTTTACAAAGTCACAGGAAGTGTGGGAGCCACTGGTCCATTTAGGCCTTTTTATTCTCTGTTTATAACATCCTGTTAAGTATTTGCTATGCATGAATTTTGAACCAAATTCTATATTATAACCTTTGCTTTAGTTGTTTAAATATGCTTTCAAAAACTCAAGAGGAAAGTTCATTGTTACTCATATTCTTACTCTCCTTTTTTACTTTTTTATTTAATTTTTTTTGAGAATTCATACATTCGTACTGTTTTTATATCACATTACCCCTCCTCTTCTTCTTCCCCTCTTCCAGCTCCTCCAGTGTTTCTCTACTCCTTCTTAAATTCATAACCTCTTCCTTAGTTATTGTTTTGATACACAGAACCTACGGAGTCCATTAATGTTGCTCATATGTGTGTTTAGGGCTGACAACTGGAGTGAGCTAACCAGGGCTCACTCCTGGAGGAACCTGATTCTCCTTGTCTCCTCAGCCATAGTTACCTATAGCTCTTCATCCAGGAGTGAGGCCTTCGGAGAGTCCCCATGCCCGGTGACATGTTGGCTGCAGGACTTAAGTGATTTTTTTTTTCCTGAGATTTCTAAGGCATAGCTTCCCTGTTATATCTGGAAAACACTGTCTGACAGCAGATGCCCTGGTCCTCTGGCTTTAAACATTTTCTCCGGTCTGTGTTGTTCCCTTGGGTGTAGGGATAGTTACAGATTTGTACATTGGAATTGGGTGCTTCTTCTCAGTATTTTGACTAGCTGTGGATTTCTACACGTATCTCTCAGGATAAGTGTTTAGAATGCAGTCAGGGATTTTACTGGTTTAGGAAGGTGTCAGTACTGAGTTCTTCTCTATGGCCATGACTTCAGTCAGCTGGGTGATTGGCTGGGTTTATGGTACCAGACATGACTTCTGCCTACTAAGTTTATCTTAAGTCCAACTTGATGGCTATTGGTTACCTCTAAGATGAGATATAAGTGCCATTATTGTGCTTTTGAAGACACCTCATGTTGGTTATTGTTGTGGTCCATAGGCTTTACAGGTGGGGAGGTTTATTGATTTCTTTTTTCCTTTGGCTGCTTGCATAAAATCTTCAGATAGTATAAAAGCTAGTCTTTAGAGAAGGCCTTGGTAGGGGCAGAATGATGTGGTTTCTGCTCTGGGGACAGGGCCAGCAGCTATGGGCCTCCAGTTTGTATAATAATGTACATATTGTTATGTTCTTCTTTTGAGGAGTGTCTTCCATGTTAACATTAATGACTCCATGATAATCAGGAACAGCATGTTTCTGGGAGGCAAAGGTGTGGCTAAGCAAAATGGCAAACCCTGGGACCTTCAGGACAGCCCTTAAGGCTGTGGGAAAGAACTCTAAAAACCTGAGTTCAGAAATATGTAATTTCTCAACTAGGCAAAATATAAAGATGCAGTATGAATTTTATGGGAGCTTCACAGAGATCTAAAAGACAAAAGCAGCTGCACTGTGAGCCAGCTTGTCATAAAGATAAGAAGGGAGATTTAGGGGGTGGCTATTGTAGGAGATCACACATAGCTAAGTTTTGCTTGCAAAGACAGACAGATTCCTGAGTTCAAGGTCAGCCTGGGATAGAGGAAATTTAGATCCAGGCCCAGAATTGGTAGTTTCAGGGCAGAGTCCCACCCAGCTAGTTTGTCTTCCGTGCTTCATAAAGGCAGACAGATCTCTGAATTCTTTTGCAATGTTTTTAAAAATGTGCTTGTCTCCTAAGAATCAAGGGCTTGGGGTCATAGGATGCTGATTCACAGGATAATCAATAAGGACGCTGGAGTAACCGGCTGGATTGATATATAAAATAAAATACTGGGCTTATGATCTGCAGGAGATGAGCTGTCCAGAGAAATTTTTAGAATAGCAAGAGACAACTGCTTGGAGAACTATCTCAAGCAGAAAACAGCAAGCTGCCTGGAGATCTCCAGAGCGAGCAGAACAGGGAGAAAGCAATTTGGAAAGCTATCTCCAGCAGGAAATAGGACCCCAGCTTGGACCCATGATTTGACTTAAGTCTTTTGCCACTCTCAAACGCCCTCCTCTCAGAACCCACCTCCAGGCCGACACTGGTCCTTGGTGGCTTCCAGGTCAGTTCAGCTTCATTTCTCCTAGTCCTATGTGCAGACCGTATGGTGTCTTCAGCAATGGGGTCTCACCTTCGGTTTTGGGAGGCAACCAAGGGCAATGACAATAGTCTGTATTGTTTGACGAGTCTCTTGGAATCCCCTGACCAACAACCCAAAGGGAGGAGGTTTTCCATGCCTAGTACTATTTTTTTTTAAATATTTTATATTGATATGTAAGGGTATTTTACCTGTTGTATGTCTGTTCACCATGTATATACAGTGCTCACAGGAGCCAAGAAAAGGTGTTGAGATTGCCTGGATCTAGAAATACAGACACTTCTTAGCTGCCATGCAAGGGCCCCATAGGAGCAGCAAGTATTAACTGCTAAGTCATCTCTCTAGTCCAGGACTGAGGTTTTTTGTTAGATAGTCTATAGCCTTCCACAGTAATTACAGTTTTTGCTTAGCTGTTAAACTCTCAAAAAATCAATTGAAGAAGGAAAACCCATTGTATTTATGAATATTTTTACTGTCTTCATCTTTGTTGTTGTTTCTATTATTTTTCAATTTAAATTCTTTTCAAATTTTTTTAAATTTATTTAACCAACTCTTTTGTGTAGTCACGGGGAGCATGCAGGTCTCAGAGGACAGCTTACAGGAGTTAGTTCTCTTCTGTGTGTGTCCTGGACACTGAACCAGGGTCTTCAGGCAGCAGGTGCCTCTGCCTGAGCCTCTTTACTGACACCCCGTTTAGAGGACTTCGAGAGCCAATCTTTTAAGTTAGTTCTATCAGTGAATATTTTAAACATGTTTTTTCTTTCATACCTGTAAGAATTATCTTCCATTTTATTCTTGAAAACCATGTTCTCCAGACACAGGGTTTTTAGCCACAGTTCCATTCCTGTCACGCCCGCTCTGTGGTCCCCAGTGGGAATCCTGTGATTGATAATCTCCAGTTCTTCTGTGGATACGACTTCATCTGCTCAGTTGCTTTCAAAATTTTTTTGTTAATTATGCTAGATGGATATCTTTGAACTTTATCTTAATGGGGTTTCTTGACTCTAAATGTATGTCTGCTGCCAGATGTTGGTTTTAGCCGTGGTTTGTTGAGTTGTTTTAGCTGTCCTCTTTCTCCTTTATTATTTTTTTTTTACTTATTTTATTTATATGAGTACACTATAGTTGTCTTCAGACACACCAGAAGAGGGCATCAGATCCCATTACAGATGGCTATGAGCCACCATGTGGTTGCTGGGAATTGAACTCAGGACCTCTGAAGAGCAGCCAGTGCTCTTAGCCTCTGAGCCATCTCTCCAGCCCTCTCCTTTGTTTCTTAGAGTGCTGCAGCAGTGTTAGGTCACAGTCCAGGAACCCACAGCACACCTTTTCTCCTGCTCCAGCTCCCACGTCTCTCCCCTGCACTCGCTGCTGAGCCCACTCACAAGGCTTTTACTTCATACCCTACATTAGCTCTCAAATCTCCACTTGGTTCTTTTGGTTTGTTTACATTTTTATTGTTTATCTTACATGTGCGGGGATTATGCCTGCATGTATGTCTGTACCACATTCGTCCTGGTGCGCGTGAGGTCCAGAAGAAAACAGTGGAAAGGATACTTTCTTTATATATGATGACTAGGTCTGAATCAAAATTAAAGGCATGCACCACCATGCCTGAGTGCTGGCAAATTTTAATCAACTAAGAAGTAAGTAAATTCTAAATAGATTTTTTAAAAAAAGGTCTCCATAGGATAATTTCTTTTCTAAGTTCATTTTACTTGTGAAATCTCTGTACTTTAAAAAACTTTTCCTGTTGCTGTGACCAAATACCTGACAAGAAGCCATTTAAGAAAGGGTTTGTTTTGATTTACTGTGTGAAGGAGATACAGTCCACCTTGACAGAAAACCTTAGCAGCTAGATAAGATACTGTTCCTCAGCCTTCCGTAACTTTTCAGGATAGTGCCACAGTTCAAACACAAGAGCCTCCTGGGAACATTTCACAGTCCAGTCACAGAACACACGCGTCTGCTGTGTGTTTCAGGATTACTTGAGGCAATGGGAATTCCGTTAGGGGATACGGTGGCTTTGGAACTGTCAAGTATACTTTGAACTACTTGTTCTTTTTTCCTTATTTTGCATCTTTCTGTCCTGCAGAAGTTCTGAATCCTTTAAAAACAATCTTTTAACAGCCATTCTCCCTCAGTTCTGGGAGGGGAAGTGCTCTGAGCTGAAGCTTACAGAAACCAACTCGCCTTTCATCCTGACTCAGCCAACTTGTTCTTCAGTTCTTTGTCTACATTTTCTTTTATGTTCTCCTCTCACCTTACGATAATCAGAAGTTAGGTGTTCGTAATCTTGTAACGCTATCAAGAACTTAGTTCAGAATGGCTATACAAAGTGTACAGACGAATGAACGTGTGTATATGTATAGACTTAGGGTGTGGTGGTAAATATTGGTGTGTGATTTTTTTTAATTATTTTTACGAGCTTTTTGTAGCAAAGTTTGTAAAAATAAAATTTTTAAAAACGGTAAAGAACTTTCAGCTTTCCTTTTCTTGCAGAAAGGGCAATTGCAAGACATGAAGTCCGAGAAATTGAACAGCGCCATACCATGGACGGTCCTCGGCAGGATGTGACCCTGGATGAAGAAGACGACATAGTCATCATCTATAACAGAGTGCCCAAGACTGCAAGCACCTCGTTCACCAATATCGCCTACGACTTGTGTGCAAAGAATAGATACCATGTTCTTCACATCAACACTACCAAAAATAACCCAGTAATGTCATTGCAAGATCAGGTAATTACCATAGAGGGGATATACAGATACTTTCTGATATCTCCTCAAATTTGGTATTCCAAGGGATGAAGTATTTGGGGTGGGGGTGTAAAACAACTTTTTTTTTTTACACAAATTTAATGTTTTCCTAACGCGACACATTTTCTTGCATCTCATCTATAGTCAAAAATTTGTGAAAAAAGTGAATTGATAAATAGCTAGAAGTTTTAGGCAGTGTTTTGATATTCCTCAGTATAGAATCTCTTTTGTGTTGTTTGTTTGTTGAGACAAACTCTCTCTCTATAGTAGCTGGCTATCTGGAGCTTGCTGTGTAGACTAGGTTAGCCTCAAACATTCACATCATGCCCAGCTTAGAATTGTTTTTTGCTTTGTTTTGTTGTTTTGTTTTAACTTGACAAGTTTTCTGCCTCGAAAGTTATTTTATTGTCTCACTTATGATAAGGAAATATTGGCTTGATACCTGTACCGTTCTGTACTAGCCTCCTGAATGTCATCTTTAGTAACTCCTGTAAATATTAGCCATAAATCAACCTCCTGGAGAAGAGATTGTAGCAAAACCTCACCTTTTAATAGTCAGGGATTTTAGATGAACAAATGGATAGGTAACCTCATGGAGTAGTAATTTAAAGTGGAGGATATTGTTAAGTGAAATCTAGTTTGTCCATCTCTTCCAAAAAGCTGAATATAATTATAAAGTTCACATTGTACATCTTAAAGGCGATGGGTATTTGACCATCCTAAAAAGACACTGAAATCCAAGGTGACTCCAGATGTCACACTGGAGAAGCTCCATCAGAAGGTATCTCTACAGTCATGCTGCAGCCAGCTCTTCTTCTGACTGTTTCCACCGTTAAGCTCATCTATAACGTTTATACCAAGCAGGGAATGAAGTTGATATGTGTTCTCGTCAGAGAGCTGTTTTTGAAGGCTAATGGTATATTACCTACCCATCTGCTTTTTGACTATCTGTAGGATCCTTTATTATTTTTTTTATAGAACCAAAATATATGTCTGTTAGCCAAACCAAATAATTCCTCTGTAAATGAGAAGAAACACAAGCTTTTTTAAACCATTGGTCATTTAAAAAAAGAAGAAGGAGGAGGAAGAGGAGGAAGAAGAGGAGGAAGAGGAGGAGGAGGAAGAAGAGAAGAAGAAGGAGGAGGAAGAGGAGGAGGAAGAGGAGGAAGAGGAGGAGGAGGAGGAAGAAGAGAAGAAGAAGGAAGAGGAGGAAGAGGAGGAGGAGGAGGAGGAGAAAATTGTTCACTGTATATCTCAAGGGACGGCATACCGAATGTTACTGTTGTACACAGTGTAGTAGGTTTGTGTTGGTGCATCGCAGTGCATACTTGATTTCAAAGGAAAGTGGCTTCATCCTCACAGAATAGCTTCAGATTTCCTCAGCAGTTTTTTTTTTTAAATGTTAACTTGTTTGTTCAATTTTTACTTTTTTGTGTCCAACCTTCCAGAGTTTTCTGGCAGCCACAAAGAATCTGGCAGTGGCACCCATGATTTCTTTTCCTTCATGAGATGTAAGTGTGGAGATGCTCACCACACTTGACATTTATCAGCAGCGTGTTGATGCATTTCCCAGTTGCATGCGGATGGGGCGCGGCTTGTTTTCCTCTCAGTGGCTTGGCATTTATACACTGGAAGAACACAGCGGAGGAACAGACTTGCCAGCCTAAGGCGATTGCTTTGTACAGCGAACAGCACCGAGACCTTCTTGTCTAGAATGCTCTAGGGATGTAGTCTCCAACATTAAATGGCATACTCCAAATGTCAACCTGTAGTTCAAACCCTGCTCCTAATCAGGAGTGGCTTACGCAGGTGTCCTCTGATACAGAATGTGTAAAGTTTACTCATCTCATGTACAGAAGCCATTTTCTAAAAACAAGCCATGTTCCCGCTCCCTGTCCTTAGCATGATGTGTTTACAGGGCTCTTAATTCAATCCAAGAAGCTTCGTGTGAATGCAAAATGAAAACTACTACCATTTTTAAGTTATTTTTCAAATATCTCTATCTTCTATACTATACTTTTGCTTTGATGTCATATGTTTATTGTGCTAATGTATAATTTTCAGCTGACTGATAGGAATTTAGGATGGTTTTACTGTTCTTCTCTGAACAAATAGCTTCAAGTTGATGTCTGGCTCTGGTAAGCGTGCTGTTGTACAGAGCCTCCATTTACAGTCCAGTCAACTCAGGAAAAAAGCTGTGCTGTGCTAGGACACCCTGGTCCACTGGGACCCTCGTGTATCAGCCTCCGCTCCAGCAGCTAGTCAGCACAACACATCTTGGATACTACGCTAAACTACTTACATGTTTAATTACTTTTCTTTAAAGTTCAGAAGGAAAGCTCTAAACATTTTAGTCTGATACAGAGCTGTCCAGTGAGATGACAGCAATGCCTCTCAGCTGTCCTTGCAAAGCTGTCAGCTTTCAAATGAGACTTTCAAGTGCCTCATTTACCTTACTGAACAAGGGATATATACAAAGATTGTGCCACTTTCTTTGGGAGAAATACCAATGAAAGAAAAAGCCAACACATGCCTTTCACGGAGCTTTTTATGATTTCCTTGAGAGTCTAAGACATAGAAACAGAATTTGAGGACTGTTAAAACATCAGTGTATGCAGGGGTGTCTGCCCGAGCCTCTGGTCTGGAATAAAGCAGCTGGGACAGAGCAAGAAGGGTTTTTGAAGGAGAGACTAATAGAATATACAGCACAAGAAATTAAGTGGTTAAAATGATGTGACTTTTATTCATTAGGTTTTTGAAGTGGCCCTTAATTTAGATGATTAAAAAGAATTGTCAAGGGTTAGAGAGGTGGCTCAGTGGTTAAGAGCACTAGCTGCTCTTCCAGAGGACCCCATGTGTGATTCCCAGCACCCACATGGTACCTCACAGCATCTGTAATTCCAGTTTCATGGGATCCAAGTCCCTCTTCTTGCATTTCTGAGCACCAGGCATACATGTGGTACACATGCAGACAAAACATTCACACATAAAAATAAAATGGATTTTTTTTTAAAAGGAGTTAAAAACAACATTATTTCAGAGAACATCTTGTGACTGTTCCTAGTAGGTATGTGGTTTTTCTTAAATCTATGCTGCTCTTAATATTTTTAAGTCGATTATATGTGACCAGTCTTGGTTTAAACATTGCAAGTATCTAGCCCAAAGGACCACATAATAATATAAATCGTGTGTGTGTGTGTGTGTGTGTGTGTGTGTGTGTATGTGTGTGTGTTTCTTTAATTTACTCTCAAGCTGACTTGTGTTCCTTTTTATTACAGCTTAGGGTTCGCTATGTGCTGCAGATACTTCTCAGAGAAACAAGCTAGCTAAGCTTTTGGAACCTATAATACATAAGCTGAATATTGGTTAAAAATGCAGGTTCTTATGATGAAGGACCAAAACGGAGCTTCTTGTAAATTTTTAGAAAGCTTCTTCCACTTGATGTTCATGGAGCAGTGAGTTAGAACAACAAGTCAGTAGCGATATACAAAGACTCAGGTTAAGATCTTCCCGGGAAGTTTTATTTATCATTAAATTCCTGTTCTTTTTTTTTTTCCCAAGAAGTCTTTATTATTTTATTTATCAGAAAAGTCAACTGAGGCATTTCTAGATTTACAGTATGTTTGATATAAAAATAAGGATTTTTCCAAAATATATACTAAAAATACAAAACATAGGATCAAAAATACAGAGGAAAATCATATTTCTGTCACCCAAAACAAGAGCTTGTGGTTTCCTCCAACTGCACACAGTCGGAGTGTTGTATGCCAGGAAGACCAGATCCAACAGCTATAGAGGCAGTGAGGATGGGCTCAGAGTGTCCTAAATGATGGATCTGAAACTGACTGGCCATTGCTTTCCCTACAACATCCATTTCTTATCCAGGCCAATAGACCCATTTCTGTGGTAGCTTTTGACTTTCTCGCCAAGCTCTTACCCGGCAGATGAAAGACCTCTTAGGTCACTGACCCTGCCAAGCCATCCTCCCTTCATGGCACCGGCTCTTACCTTTTCGTAGAGTGCATTTCTCCTTCAGTTGTTCTCATGTTGTCTGTTTGGTGTTGCATGTTCAGTGACAGGCTCCTGGACCTTGCCTGGCCATTCTGTATCATGTTACTTACCACTTCCAAGGCACTGGCTCCACGTCACCCCTAGTGCTGGTCAGTTTATGCAGTTACCTTACGTATTAGTTTGGCTTCTCCCTGTTTTCTTCTATTGTAGTGTAAGCCCCTTAAGGGCAGACATCTCGTTTGCCCACTGTATGCCTCATGCCATGTGCCTTGAATGGTGACCAAGACATGGAAGATACGTGATACATTGCTTGTTACTTGATGCATGTGTAAGCAGATGAGCCACCCTACATGTTGGTGGTAGTCCTTAGCTATCCCCAGTACCATGGCTACAGCTGTAAGCAAAGTAAACTCTGCTTGATGAGAGTTTATCTCTGCCTCTTGGCTGATTTAGGACTCATCCCCCAAAGCAGCTCAGATCTGAACCTCAGTCCCAGTACCATGTGTTGGAGGTCAACTTCTTACCTATCTGCACACGACTTTTCCCCTTATTATAGAAAATCTTCTCCCTGGTCTAGACTCAAAAAATATGCCTGTGGCTATATAAGGAATGTTTATTTAAAGTAAATTTATCAGTAGGAGTTGGTGTATAGTAATTACTCAAACTAATAATAGTCTTCATCTCAATAGATAGTAATTACAACGTTGGAAGTAGGCCAGGGCATTCGGGAGTACTCCTACTCCTTCAGATACTGGAAACGAGTCCTTTTGTGATTGTAGATATCAGAGTGTAGAGTTGAACTTACTGAGAATGTAGGCCAACATTCCTGCGCTGGCGCTGCCTTGGCTTTTTCCTTTAGTGTTGGTTCAGGTCTGATTCAACAAGCAAATAAATCATGTCCCACCCTCTGCGCTGCTTCTGGTTTCCCTAAAGGTACATTGTGATTACTTGCTAGCCCAGCTCTGCTTGAG